TGTCTGTCTGTCTGTCTGTCTGTCTGTCTGTCTGATGTCTTTATGTCTTCTGTCCGTCTGTCTGTCTTTGCTCTCTCCTTTTCGCCTCTTGTGTTCTCTTGTGTCCTTCACAGTCAGTTTCATGTGTATAATTATTAAAGTTTGAACAATTTGCTAGTGTTAATGGTTAGAATATACAAAGATTTGTAATATGAATATGAGGGTGGCAGGTATCCACACAAATATATAGATCTGTATACTTATTAGGGTATAGCAAAATATGTGTATTATTAGCAAAACTTTAGTTTTTAAAACTTTATAAGGAGAGTATAATTACATAGTTTCTATATATTTACTAAGTTTGAGTCGTATCTAGTTTAAGGGTATAATCTAGATTTCCTTGTACAATCAACAATTACAAATATTAAATTATAATTTTAGAACAATTCCCTTAAAGGCTATTTTCTATAATGTCTTAAATTTAGGTGGAATTTTTTACTACCCTCACTTTAATATACGGAAAATGTGGAAAAATTTATTACCCTAATTTTCTCTGCCACAGCTTAAAATTATAATACATGTCAATGTCAAATGCAGATATTATTCAATTTATTTATTTAATATACATATTTATGAACTAACTTACATATATACTAGAGTGTCCCGAGGAACAGTCTTTTTAAGAATCTCATGTAGGAATACGATGCGTATTAATGTAATAAACACGAGAAAAATAGAAAATATATGTATGTTGTGAAAGATGCTTCAGTTCCCTACCACCGATTGAAAATCTTGATCTCAGTAATCGTAAACGATTTTCTCCATAGTCACCGATTTGAATAAAATTTTGTGAGCACGTAAGGAAAGGTCCACAATCATGAGAAGTGTCATCTTTTCATTGAAATTTTGAAAACTCTGAAAGCCCTATAGATTCAAAAGTGATTAAAAATTGAGTAAAAATTTCTATAACTTTTTATGTATGCGTTATACCCTCCACCACCATTAGTGGTGATAGAAAAATTCATATGAGACCCAAAAAAGTATATTTATTACGTGTCCTTATGAAATTCTAAGTCGCTTTAGCCATGTCCGTCTGTCTGTCTGTCTGCGTACACTCCCGCTAAAACTAAGAAAAGAAAGTCAACCAAATTATATACCAAATATATTCGTTATTATCCAAAGCAGTTTGGTATAAGTTATGAGTAAAAATTTTTGACTACCTAAAAAAAAGTTTTTTTTCCTATTCCTGAGTAGTTTTCTCAGAACACATGTTTTCTTATCGCTCAAAAATTGATTTATAGATGAAAACTTCCTCAAAAATATCGATATTACCACAAAATTTTAATTAAGGAACAGAGATCATGTTACAAACGTAAATCTGTATCGGTCCATAATTTGTCATAGCTCCCATATAAGACCCACTTCCGATAACCATGTAAACGAACATATTCAATTACTGACTGAAGATATCAGTATAAAATTCGTCAAGATTGTGTTTAAAGTACATATAAAATACACTGTGAATATTTTTTCCGGGTTCGTCCATAATTGGTAATAGGTCCTATACCGAAAATCACTTAAATGCACGGAATAACGGAATAAAATTCCGTATAAATAATTTTTTTCGTGTTAAGTGACCCAACTTTAAAAATTAATGTCTTCCAATTTGGATGAAATTTGCAGCAAGTTTAGTACTATGGGATTGTAGGCCAGACACAAATTTTCAGCTCTATCGATTAAGAACTGCCGGAGTCAGAGGGGGTCAAAGTTGAACATTTTGGTCATACAGGGTTTTATTCAAATTGTCCAAAGGAGTTCAGATAGCTATTTCTTCATACTTTCTAAAAATTTATTTTTAATTTAAAAAAAATTTTTTTTGCTAGGTCTAATAGGTGAAAAGTCATTGGAATAAAATCCTGTATGACCAAAATATCCAACTTTGACCCCCTCCTTGTCCGGCTGTTTTTGAGCGATAGAGCTCAAAATTTTAAAGCAAATTTTCATCAAAATCAATTTTTTGAGTTGAGTCACTTGACATTAAATTCCCCATATACAAATCACTTTGAAAGTTTATTTTGTGGATTGGCCCGTTACTGGTCTCATCTCAGTTTACATTTGGCCATATAATTTGTTAATATATAAATATATCCGAATAAAATCCGACATATTTTGTTTTGCGTATCGATAAATCATTTTGAGAAATTTTATTTGGATTGGACAATAAATGGTCATATAGCCCATTAAAGGCCCTTAAATTAGTTATGAACTTTATCAAAATTAGCTCTATCGATGTATGTATAAAGAAATTACTAAATGATAACATCCCTATCACGAAAGTTTAAACTTTCACAATTTATTAAAAACGTGTCTAAAAATATTTAGATGCTCTTTTATATTTACATTATATGGCCACATTAGGTCTCTAACCTTCCTTAAAATTTTAGATTAAGATTCCTACTAGATATGACCAAACGTTTTAAATGAATGAAAACGTAAAGAGAAACTGTTCTCGAGTTTATGTTTTGAAGTTGGACCTAGAAGGCCTAGTCTCCTAAAAGTAGGACATCTATTTCCTTTTTCTATTTTGTGTCTGTTGTTATTGCCCAGCAATAACTTACATTCCAAAGTAATGAGTTAAAAAGCTAAAAAATCCGCTCTTCAACACTTCTTCATTTGCATTTTAACCCATTATTTTAACACGGTGATGATATTGGAGGCAAGTACTTACCACGCTCGCTTACAAATAACTAATTAAATTTTCAAATAGGGTGTTAAAAAGTAGTCTTGTTTTAAAAACAAAAAATTGCTCACACAGAATAGGTTAGGTTGCTAGGAGGATGTATACTACATCAAATCCGAAAAAGTACACCTAGGCCACTATTGGGCCTGTAGTGCGCTCCTTTTCATGAAAAAAAAGGAACTGAATGAATTATTTTTCAGTGTTCAGAAACTTAGTTTCCTGAACGTAATTCCTAAGAATCTTCCAATCAGTGTTAGTCAGGAATGTTATTTCCGGAATAACGTCACTTCCAAGATACTTGCATCTAACTTCGACGAATGCCTGGCAGTGGCAAAGAAAGTTTCACTGTCCTCTCCACATGCTCTACATTCGTCTGAATCCGCACGTCCAATTTTGCATAGATGCTCGTAATCCTGTGTGTCCACTCAGAATACGTACCATCATACTAACTTCAGACTTGCTCATTTTGAGGAGATTTCTTGCTCTCATCAGGGTCACCCCATAGGATCTTCGTGGTTCTACCCACTATTTTACTATTCCAAGAGGACTTATGGGATTCTCTCACCCATATTTTTAGTTCAGCTTTTGTTGCGTCGAATGTTTTTGCGTTTGTCAGGTTAACTGCCTCGAGCTCCCTTCCCTTTAAAGCTATTACATTCGCCCTTTCATTACCGACTACTCCCGAGTGGGCTGGTATCCATATGATGTGAACCTTACCTCTGGGAGAGTATTCAGTTAAAGCTTTCTTACAATCCAATACGCTCTTAAATTTAGTTCTATCACCTGATATCGCCCTAATTGCCTTCTGGCTGTCGGTAAATATATTAAGCGCTGTGGGCGCCATATTTATTTTAATCCAATTTACACTCGTACTTCTGCCTGGAAGCTTGTGTAATGATTAAGTAAAAGGTGGTATATTTCTGTTTGATCTTCAATATGGAACCCCAACCCCACTTTGTCCCCCAATTTAGAGCCATCCGTGTAACAACGGATTCCTAATGGTATTTGCTCTAATGTTCCGCTTGACCAAGACATTCTATCTGGGATCAGCGTTTCAAAGTTTCCGACATATTCTGTGTCTGGTATACGATCTGGCACGTCCGATGATTGTGTATAACCTTCCAATGTGTCCAGTATACATTGATGACGTGTCCTATAACCGCTTTTGGCCAGTTCGCCTAAAGTATAGAGCCGTTCGGTTCTAAGCGTCGCCTCATATCTTAAATATGTTTCAATAGGTGGAATATCCAGCAACGTTTCCAGAGACTTGGTTGAAGTAGTACACATGTCACCACTTATACCCAAGCTGCATGTATGCCGAACTCCCTGTAGTAGTTGAAATTGAACTTTTTGTCTAAAGCAGTCCACCAGATTATTTAAGCAGAATTGGTCTAATTACACTTTTATAAAGCCAATTTGTCATAGTAGTACTAAGACCCTATTTCATGCCTATAGTTCTCCTACATATCACCCAGCACCGATGTGCCTTGTTGATCCTATCCTCTATGTGGAGTCTTTACAAAATAAGAACACGGAATTCTTGTTCCTTAGTAAGGGGTTATGTAAGTACAAGTCATTAGCGAGTTTATTCTGGGTGTTTTTGAATTATATTATTACATTATTAGTATTCAGACTATTAAAATATATTTTTTATACCCTACACCACCATAGTGGGGAGGGTATTATACGTTTGTGCTGATGTTTGTAACGCACAAAAATATTGGTCCTATACCCACCTTAAAGTATACCGATCGACTCAGAATTACTTTCTGATTCGATTAAGCTATTTTGATGAAATTTGGACCATACGTGTTTTTCGGCCCAACGAGCCTATTGAAAATGGTTGAAATCGGTCCATTAGCCCTCATACAACCCTACTCCCCGAAAAGGGCTTTTGGGTTTATAATTATGTTAAATATTGTAATATGTATATATCTCTACAAAAATCGGCAAAACTTAGTCCTATATACTTCTTAATAATACTACCGATTTTCGTAATTATCGGACTTTATTTGACCCTTGAAGGTCACTAATTCACTAATAAACACTAGTATCACGATGAAATCCAGCATACATAACTCTAATGCAAACGTAAAGCCATGTACCAACATTTATAAGGATAGGCCCATATTTACCTTTACCCCCATATAACCCCTCTTTTAGAAAATTAAGGTATTAAGGTAAACAACTTAAATACTTTGTTATTAAAAATAATCCACATTTTTAACATACTCAGGGTATCATATGGTCGGCCATGCCCGACTATACTTTCCTACTTGTAATTTTTAATATTTTTTTACATAAAATTCTTTATTAAAACTAAATTACAAAGATACATATGTATATACTTATTAAAATACGAAAAATATTGCACTTATAACTATTTACATATAAATACTTAAATATTTAAAACTAAGTTAAATGTATTTATTTTCAGCAAATAACAATTGGTATACATTCCGGTGAAGTTGTGACCGGTGTTATAGGCAATCGTGTACCCCGTTACTGTCTTTTCGGTAATACAGTAAATTTAACAAGTCGTACTGAAACTACAGGTGTACCAGGACGTATAAATGTCAGTGAAGAAACCTACAAGTGAGTACTAATACTTTTTTTTTGGTAATTAAAATCTTTGATAATCTTTGATTTTTGCCTTAAACTTATAAAACCGAAAATCTATTAAATTTCATTAAACAGTTAACCTAAGAAAAAATATATATTAAATAAAAACTTATTTTACTGGGAAAAATTTCGAAACGAAAAAGAAAAAAAATAAGTATAAAAACTTTTTAAATTAAGGCAAAATCAAACCTCAAGAAAAGGGTAGTTTAAAGATACTTTTTAAAATATAAAGAATACTGTATAAAAATCAAAGTGTTAAAGGTTTATCTAAAACTGTTTCAGTTACAGCTACCACTTCTGTGGAAGAATTCGTGATGTTAGCATCCTCACTCACGGTGTTAGGTGGGTGTTGTTCTGAAGGTGTTAATAATGTTCTTGTCATTGATGATGACGATGATGAAGATGTTGTAGCTGTCATGGTTGCAGCTTCATCTACTGTTTGAGTTGTTGTTTTTGGGTCTGTTGCCTCTGCCGTGTTAGTGGATTCACTTGTAAAAGTAACATGTTTCTTTTTCGTACTTGTATTACAATTTTTGGCATCAGTTTCGTTGGTGTTCTTATTTTTGCTTTTCTTTTTATTACAATTGTTGTCGTTATTATCGTTGTTAACTTTGGTTTCTTCAATCTCTTCCATTAAATCGATATAACGTTGTAAACGTCTTGGCAAACGCAGAGTATCAATGCCATTGGGTAATTGTCCATTATTTCGCAGCAAATCACGTATACGACAGCTAAAAGAAAAAAGAACCAAAAAAAACGAAAAAAAAATTAAAAAAAGAATAAAACAATTTAGAAGATTTTTTTCCTTGATTTAGATTTTAAAATGTATTAAGAAAGTTGCTTAACAAATTTTTCTCAGTTTCATTTAAAGAAACAAACAAACAAAATACCCAAAATGGAACAAATTTCAAAGTTTTATAATTCATAAATTTTTTAAGATAAAGTTGTTATTAGAACTTAGAGTAACAACATGTTTGTACAAAATGAATTTTGTTTTGTATTAAATTAAATATTTGCTTTTTAACACTCTTAAAAGTCTTAGCGAAAAAGAAATAAACTTTTCAATTTGTATTCAATTTGAATATATTTTTTCAAACTTAACTTTATTAATTTTTTAGTGAAAGCATACGATAACTTGTTACTTATTTTAGGTTATATTTATATTTTCATTAATATAATGAATTTGCTTTATGTTTAGAGGAATTTAATCAAATCCTTGAACCATCTTTAATAAAGAAGCTTAAATGTCTATAAATTTTTAGTTCATTATTTTGTTAATTTTGTTAAATACTTTTTTTCTTTTAAATTTACAAAATATTTTACTTTAAACTTCAATTCTTAACTTTTTTTTGTTTTAAAAGAAAAGTTTTTTTTTTGTACATTTATAATGTAATTTTCTTCATATTAAATTAAAGCATAAAAAACACATAACCTGCCACAAAGTACACAGGGGAAAAAGCTGGTCTGAAAAACTTTATAGATGTTAAAAACAAGTTTCTTTTAATTATGATGAAAAGGTCATCATATTAAAGCTATAAATAATAATGAAAGAATACACCAAAGCGTAGGATGGACGAATATTGTTAATTTAACATAATCGAATAAATCGTACTTAGGTCTTTATAGATCCTTTCAGCAGAAATTTGTATTATTTTGCTGAGATGGTTAATACCTGAGCATGCAACGAAAGTATACTGATCGTCTCAGAATCAATTTATGAGTCAAATAAGATATCCGTCCGTCTGTCCGTCCATCCGCCTGTCTGTCTGTCTGTCTATCTGTCCGTCCTTCCGGCTAGTTGTCCACGTAAACCTTGTATGCTACAGGTTGCAATTTATTCAATTATGGACCGGTGGAAAAGTACTTTTGTTTAAACCGAATTTTATCGATGTAGTAGTAAGCAATTTTGTCTGGTATTAGGGTCAATTATGGCTTGATGCTCTACAATATGTACCTCCTAACGCGACAGACGGAGGGATTGACGGACATGGCTTCATCGTCTTAAAATCTAATAAATGTCCCCAATATATAAAATTTGGGAGCCTACAACCCTCATTAAAACCCTTATATCTTTGATGATAGTGAATCAAATTTTTGCAAATTTTATGCTACATATTGATATCAACTTTCAGAAACATACAAATTTAATTAAAATATTGCAAAAACTACCTGATTTTAAATAAATATTTGCTTTATATAGCAAATCCAAAAAAAAAACTAAAAGAAACTTAAATTCCCAATTTTCTTTTCAGCTTATTTTATTCAAACCATAAATTTCTCATAGCATCAGCAACAAAATATTTGGCGACATAAATTTGTATGGTTTACCAACACGAATTTGCATAAAAAACACATCTTTACAGTTTATTGACCTTAATTTTTTTCCCCGCCGTTTCAGCTGTTTGTATTTGCACATTTTATGACAAATTTATCTCTAACCAAATTTCTATGATATCTGTGTTAAAATATAAACTGCAAAGTATTTGTCAAAAAAAAAAATAGGCAAATGTCTTATTTTCTTTAAAGATTACAACGTCCTTCGAAATGTGTGCATGAAAAAAATATATATTTTTTATTTTGAATAAAACCAAATAATTTCAACATAAAATATTCGTCTTTAATTGTTGACAATTTTAATGATCTATAAGAAGTAATGATGATGTTTACTTAACAGCAAGTCAATATTTTACTGGCGGCTACTGTTAGTCTTTTGCAGATTTAGCTTTCTTGTAGCTTTAGTTATATTTTTTTATGGAGGATTTAAAATTTTTCATATTAAATTTGGTTTATTTTTATTTGTGTAAAAAAAAACTCCCTCCCATAAGAAGAACTAATATTTCAATATAATAAAAATCCAATATTTTCATTAATGCCTTAAAATATGCCACGTTTTTAAGTAGAAAAAAATTTTATATTTTCATTGATGACTTAGTTAGTTAGTTTGAAAGGATGATGTATATCCATCAAATCCGAAGAAATATACCTAGGCCTCTATTGGGCCTGTTGTGCGCTCCTTAACCAGTGCCTCAGGTGGGAATTGAACCCACCACCTCCGCTCTACCAGACTAGAACACTAACCACTAACCTACCGGAGGCCACAATGATAACTTAAAATAGGCCAAGTTTTTTAAGTTAAAAAGAAGTCCTTGTAATATTCACGAATAATTACAAAAAGCACTCACAAGAAGAATTTATATTTCAAAGCGATAAAAATGCAACATTTTCATTAATGACTTTAAACGAAGTAATTTGAAGTTAAAAACAAGTAAGAAATTATAGTCGAACATGGCCGACCGTATGAAACCCTACACCAGTGAATATTTTGAAAATGTTAATTATTTTTTAATAATAAAGTATCTAATTTCAATTTTAACTTAATTTAGAAATATTTTAACAATTTGTTGATAAAAATGGATTTTCAAAAAGAAGAGTTATATGGGGGCTGGGGGTTAATATGGTCCTATCCTTATAAATTTTTGTAGAGGGATTTACATCTACATTAAAATTATTTATGCAGAATATCATCGTGATATTAGTGTTTATAGGTGAATTTTGACCATCAAGTCATTTTCTGAAGGGGACTTTATATGGGAGATAGGGTTAAATCAGGCCGATAATTACGAAAATCAGCAGTATCATTAAGACTTATATAAAACTAGGTTTTGCTGATTTTTGGAGTGATACAAGAACATTAAACATATATATGAACTCAAAAATCCTATTCGGGATGTAGGATTATATGGGGGCTATGCAAAAAAAATGGACCGATTTTAATCAAGGCTTCGTCAAATTATCGTTAAAATTTCGACTTATAGAGTACGCATAAGATTTACAAGGACACACAGACAGAGGGACAGACGGACATAGCTAAATCGACTCAGAATGTGATTCTGAGCCTCTCCATTATAGTGGTGTATTACAAGTTCTTGTAATATTCTCGAATCCTTTAAATGGACAGCATTTTTTTAATTTTTATACCCTACACCACTTTAGTTTGGATTTGTGCTGATGTTTGTAACATACAAAAATATTCGCCCTGGACCCACCTTAAAGTATACCAATCGGCTTAGAATCGTTTTCTAAGTCGATTAAACCTTGTGCGCAAGGTACAGGTCGCAATTTTTAAGATAATTGGATGAAATTTGGCACGCACGTTTTATTTGACCCAAGGACGAAGCCTATTGAAAATGGTTAAATTGGTCCATTATTTCACCTAACCCCCGAAAAGGGCTTCTGAGCTCATAATTATGTTAAATATACAGATATATCGATAAAATACGGCACAACTAAGTTTTATAGAAGTCTTGAGAACCCTGCCAAATTTCATAAAGATCGGGCCCCATTTGACCCTAGCTCCCATACAAAGTCCCCTTCAGAAAATTACTTGAATGTCCCAAATTAACTTATAAACAGAAATATCGCGATGAAATTCAGCACAATAAAATATTATGTAAATATAAATATATTCACAAAATTTTATCGGGCTTGGTCCATATTTGCCCCTAGCCCCCATATGAGGCCTCTTTCAGAAAATTAGTTTTTCATCCATAAATTGCTTAAATGTATCGGAACAAGGGAATATTGAAGATAAATGCTTTATTATGAAAAATCATATATCATATGGTCGGCCACGGCCGACTATACTTTCTAACTTGTTTTTTTTTTTTTTTTTTTTGTTAATAATTAAATTGGCATATAAGGGATTTAATAATGTTGTAAATATTATCCTAATATGAACCTGCTAAATATTCTAAGATTACAAAATAAAAATAAAACAAAATATTAAACAATTTAATCACTAAATTTATAATTTCAAAAATAAATATTTTCACATAAAATTATGTTTATGCTCTCAATTTTGTTTTTTATTTTCTTATTTATTTGTTTATAATAAATTCTAAACATTCCCACTTTGTTTGCATAAAATTTATATTTTTTTATATTTATTTATAAAATATACAATTCAGTTGAAATAAGATAAATTGCCACAATTGATGTTCTACAAAGACATCAATCATAAGTTTAACAGACATTTACAAATTTGCTGCGGAAATACTCTTAATATATTAAATTATTTATATGTTTTTCAAATATTATCAGACACTTTTTTTCATATTATACTGATGAAAAATTCTAGATCTATTCAAATGTCTCTGTAAAAAACATTTGCGAACATTTCAACTTTTATACTGTCAATTTTAAAATATTGTTTTTTTAAATATTACATTTATATTGTTTTATACTTGCATCGACAAAATTTATGAGCATACAATGTATTTGACTTGAACTGATACATGCATTTTTCAATTCTGCTTATATTATTATTATTATTTTTTTTCCTTTTTTTTCAATTCATATCAAGAGCTAGACAGTTACAGTAGAGAGGATTTTATTTTGTAGCCATTAAGTGGCATGTTTGAAATGATTTAACCCTACAGGGAGTGGAAGGAACATAATAGTGGGCAAACAGAAGTTAAAAAGCTTCCAAGGTCTTAATGGCCATAGATGATATCTAAAGCCACAGCGACCAATTCGAAACCCCTGTATATAATCTGATATTTAAGAAACAGTTCTCTAAAGTTCTGCATACCCTATTTCAAAACACATCCAATTAGTACACTACATACTTTATTTTTCCACTTTTCACACTCTTGAATTTATTCTTGACCTCACCAGGCATGTCTAAAACACAGATACAAGTATCAGTTGAGGTTTAAATGTGCAACACAAT